ACATACTAGCATATTGATGTGTCGCTCAATATAATCCTACTACACAGTGTGCATTCCCCAGTGCGGGGACTCGAACTCATGACCTCACGCTTGAAAGCGCAAGGCTTTATTACCATGAGCCACCACTAGAACTCCTTCTCAATGGGAGGTCCTGGGTTCGAATCTCCGCTGTGGCATGAGGTGATTGGTGAAGCAGACTTGGTGGGGTGATTAGTTAAAAAGCTGATGAGTCAGGGGTGGGAAGTTAAGTGGAGAAAGTACAGTGTTTAGATTGAGACAACCTTTTCCTGTAGACCTCCCCCTCCTTTGCCTGAACTAGGTCCCCTTAATTTCTATTGCATACTTACCACACATGCCTGTCCTGAGATTTGAACTCATGTCCTCATGCTCACTAGTCCATTGCTCTACTGACTGGACAACAAGGGTGACTTTCTAATAAGTGGTGAAGCTTTTTTGAAAAATTATATTGTTTCTTGATATTGTGACATGTCAGGAATATATTCATACAGACACACACAGTGTAAGTGTAAAAGTTTACTTTTTTCTTTCAATAGTTTTTATTTAGTTTTCCAAGACATAACAAACTCCAAGTTCGCCCACAGAGGGGCCAGGAAATTACAAAAAAGTAAAAGATTACTCTAACAACAGACATAACAGATATTTAAAAAAATAGAAATAAGAAAAATGTATATTAGGAACTATATTAAGATTTTCTCACATCATGAAAGAAAAATCAGGAATCTTTTTAAGTGGGAGAACTTGCACAATTGGTGGCTGACTAAATACTTTTTTGCCCCACTGTATATGTATATATATTTATTTATTTTTTGTTAACCAAGGTTTAGTGTCACTTTAATAAACATACAAGAGCCACCTTCTGCAATCCTGAGACACAGGCCGAGATGTGATGGTTTAGCAAACACAGCAGCTGCAGTGGAGGAAATGCCTTGGCAGTACAAGGTATGTCCAATGTACTAAGATGAAGATTTTTGGGGCATATTTCATATGCCTAAGGTCCGCAACTGATAAATGACAGATGTTACAAATAGCACAATATGGACTTTATACCCATTGTGAAATTGAACATTGTGTATCAGGTAGAGTTAAAGGAGTTCTCCAACAATAATTTAAAAACTTTACATCTTCCTCTGACCTGACCTTAACCACAGAAGATTTTAGAAATATACAGGTATCAAATTCCAATTTTATTGCACTGGTCTTGACAACAATGATTGTGACAAAACTGGGGCAGCTAAGGATCATTAGTCATGGTCAGGACAAGCCTAGAAGGGTTCTAAATAAAAAGAGACAGAATCTCCTCATTGCTTCCAACTTATTAACTATGGAAGCATTTCAAACTGAATCCTGCAAGGACTGCAGTCCACAGCAGAGCCCTAAGGTAAAAAGCAAGAAAAGAAAGAAAACAGAATGCACCAAATAGGTTACTGTAGATAAAATTCCATGTTAAAACTAACACCTCAGCTACATACCTTATCAATCTGATGGGAACACTGTCGACCTTGTTTTCTCCCACCTCTGCACTCCTTGATACTTCTCCTATTTATTTATTTCAGGTACTTATATAGTGCTGTCAATGTATGCAGTGCTTTACATATATATTGTACCTTCACATCAGTCCCTAACCCTCAAAGGGTGTACAATCTAAGGTCCCTAATTCACATTCATACATACTAGGGACAATTTAGACAGGATCCAATTAACCTACCAGCATGTCTTTGGAGTGTGGGAGGAAGCTGGAGTACCTGGAGGAAACCCACACAGGCACAGGGAGAACATGTAAGCTCCAGGCAGGAGGTTCTGTGGCTGAGATTTGAACCAATGACCCTAGTACTTCCAGGTGGAAGTGCTAACCATTTAGCCACTGTGCTGCCCCTCCTATACCCCTTTTCTTCTCTCTGATCACAACCTTATCAGTTTCTTGCTCACCCTGCCTTCAACCTCCTATCCCTTCAACCAACCAACAATTACCCATAGAAACCCTTTACCACTTCAACGCATCTCTTGTCTATTCTGCTACTGAACACCTCTACGGCGAATTCTTGCACCTGTCTGCCCTGACTACTTCTGCCCTATATGATGCAGGCTCATCCTCACTGGACACATTTGCTTCCCTCACTACGCACAATATTATGGTCCTGCTGTTATAACCCTGGCAAATAGATGACACCAAAAGTCTCAACTGACATGAGTGTGGCTTTAAAGTGGTTGTAAACCCTTACAGATACCCAGTGAAGTCACTGGCCTCAGGTGATACACAGAGTTAAACAAATCCTCCTACATTTTATACCGTTATAAGGTTTTATCTACAGCCATTAAAGTACCGAACTTACAAAGGGTCTCTCAGCTCTGAAAAGCAGGGGCAGGGAGCTCTTTTCACCCAGAGTTAAACTTTAAATTGATTTGAAAGGCTTGTTTTTTAATAGAAAAAATAACAAACATGTTATACTTACCTGCTCAGTGCAGTGGTTTTGCACAGAGCAGCCCAGATCCTTCTCTTCTCGGGTCCTGTTCAGGCTCTCCTGGCCCCCCCGTCTTGTCGGGTGCCCCCACAGCAAGCAGCTTGCTATGGGGGCACATGCTGCTCCATGTGTCCATTCACACATGGAGCTGCTGCTTGGCCCCGCCCCCTCTCTCTTCTCATTGGCTCACTGGCTGTAACAATTGTTACTAAACCCAGGACCCTGCATTCACTATATCTGGTCTCCCACAGTACACAGAGTACATGGAAATGCAATTATTTTAGTAAATATAAACTGCTAAATACCTTTTTTCATCAGCAGTATATAACAGTGTTGTGTCACCTATCAGTGTCCAGCTGAGCACTGGTTAAAACTTGTAGAAGGAGGTTTTACTCTCTCCTTATTGTCCTATGAGGCAGGACAGTGCTAATCGGCCCTGTGCTGATACATGCACTCTGCCAAGAAAAAAAAAAAACTCTCTAGCAATACACACCAAACTGAGCATGTGCACCTTGCCCCCAATGCTCTGTTTTATCAGATCAGTCGGGGACAGTGGAAAAAGGGAAGGATCAGAGAAGACAGGATAAAACATCCTTTTTACTGAATGCAGGGAATTAACCACTTAGGTTCCCCTAGGTTACTATGACAATTTGGGCATTCTGGAGAGTCTAATCTACCCATCTTAAATAAATAACTAGGGGTATAATACATTTTAAGAAAATATTTAAGCTGACTCAGTTTGTCTCCACCTGATATAACCGTAGAGAGTTGAGAATCAACTATGCCTGCGCACTCCTCCTCAGTCAAGGATGGAATATACGATTGCCACTGCCTAGAAACCCTTTCCATTCTGGTGGATGAAGATGACATAATATCTTGAAATTAACTTAGAGTTATTGTCTTCAAATAGAAGAGCCTCCAATTTAGGTGTTTGCAGAAACACCTCCTTTAGCCCAAACTGCGTCGCCACTGCATGGCGCAGCTACAGAGAGCAGAAATAAATATTGAGGATCCAAAATTCCTGTTGGAGTGACCAAAAGGTTTAAACATTTTGTAAGATAATAACTGGTGGGCATATTTAATGCCAAAATGTGCCCAATGGCTCCCATTGGGGATCTACTAAATTTCCGGTAGATGTGGGTTATACCATAGGGGAGCATTAGGGAAAGTAGTAAGTAGCACTCACCTTCCGATTACACATATGAAAGATTTTGTACGACAAATTAAGAATATCTGCACCTTCGTTAAGAATGGGTCCCCTCCCTGTAGAGAACATTGATTAACGCTTTAAAACAATGCATGAGGGCTGCTTGCGTGGCTACAGAAGCATTATCCAAAGTGGAGAATAACCACCAATGGAGGTGTGTCAATTGGGCTGCTAAATAGTAACATTGAAGGTTGGGCAGGGCCAAACCTCCGCCCCGAGTTGGCAAATAGAGGGTCTCTAGTAATATCCTAGAAGGGTTAGGCCCCCAAAGAAAGGAAGAAAATAGAGTATTCAAATCCAGAAATATTCTCGTTTTTTTTCTTCCAAAGTGTCAATCCCGCAGCCCAGAACATTGGGATCATCCCTCAATAAAGCCACCAGTAGCTCTACAGTGATGGGAAAGAACAGAGGTGACAAAGAACACCCCCTGACAAACCAGTGCCCTGACAAATACTAAAGGGATCAGTAATTTCGAGCATTGACTTGTATATGAGCCACAGGCTGCAATACAACAATTTATCCAGGCAATAAAGTTAGGTCCAAAACCCAGATGCACAAGGACCATAATACCTGACCTTTAAGGGGAATCTATGTTAGTTTTCCAAAGTGAAGAAGAACAAGATTTAGGATACTGCATTTATATTTTGTAAACTAACATATAATGGGCACTATATGTTACTGTTATCTGCAGCCTGAACCTGCAACAGTGCAGATAGCCCCCCGTTATTCCCCTTGTCCGGCAGTATGAGATAATACATAGCTACACCAGTCACTGTCAATGCATAGATTAGTGCTGAGTGAGACATCAAAATGGGCAGAGCTCATTAAGCCCTGGTTCACACCAGTGTGGCTACTTCAGCGTGATTTCAAAGCCGACGATCAGTGTGATTGTCATTTGTGCTATTTCATTGCGGCTTGCAACTTCATTAAACAGATGTTAATGCAAGTTGCAATGATATCGCACAAAAATAATGCAGGAACCTTTTTCAAAGTCGCTGCAACTTCAGTCACTGTTATTTGAACAGTGCCATTTTACAAATGAACTGTCAAATAACAAATTGCCTAGGTGTGAACCAGGGCTTAGAGTGAAGTCTTTGAAGCTTGGAATGAAAAGTAAATGATAAAATTGGTTCTCATTTCATTGCATTCTGTATTTTATGAATAAGTGCTATTATCATCCACATATTAAACATTTTCCCCACCACCTGTCAGTTAACATTGCATGGTGTCTTTCTTTCTTCGTACTCCAGAATGTACTCTGGGTAGGCCTGGTCCTTTCTGAACACCACAAAAATAGATGGATCGTTGATGTTGTCCACACAGGAGTCATATCTCTGAGTTCTTCCGTGTTTCTGCGGTGGTTGTATCAGAGTGGGATTTCCTTCAATAAAACTGCCCACAAGAACATGAGCTACAAACATGGTCCGTTTTCCCGTTGAGGTGGGTGGGGAGTATTTGTGGGAGTATGACGCATCCCTTGCGAAGTAACTGCCTGTTGGGAGAAAGTTTACAAGTTATGCCTGACTCTGTATAAGATAAACTTACTGTCAGCGTTCGGTGTCCCTGCCATGATGTGTCGGGCGGCTCATGCGCAGAACACCGATGCACCCTAGCCAGCGAGCAGCGGGACTTGGGCGATCACGACCGCCATGCATGCGCAATCGCAGATGCGTGCCGGGGACCAATGACAGCGCAGGGCGGGCTATTTAAACAGGACTAGAGGTATGTCAAGTTGCTGTTTGGTCTTTTGTGCTCTGTTCCTGATACTTGATCCTGTGCTTATTCCGTTGCCGACCTCCTGTACCTGACCCTGCTAATTGTCTCCTGCTTAACCCTTGGCTTGCCTGACCATCCTTCTGCCTGATCCTCTGTACCGCGCTGTCCGCTAGTTACTGAACCTGGCTTGTGACCCTGACCATTCTCTGCCTACTCCTCCGGTACCTCACTGCCCGCACATTGCTGACCTGGCCTGCCTGACTACGATTCACGTCACCCAGACGATCCATCCAGCCCAAACGGATCGTTCCTGGTTACCAGTTCTGCCAGCCTCTTCACATCAGACTCCTTTACCCGCACTCCTCTGACGGTGCCCTCTACCATTGTCGGACGTACTCAGGGGTCGCGATCTGGTCTCAGTCTGCTCCAAGTCCATCCCCACCATCAGGGGCCCTGGTGAATAAGCAGATTGGGACTTAGACCCCGTGTCCTGAGGAACCCCGTGCTGCGGACCGATATAGATGCCGCCAGGCGGATCGTGACACTTACATTGATGCATTCATAACTTTTGAAAGAGATCTTGAACCTGTTTCCACTTTATTTTTTAAAAACAAGTGACCACTTTAGTGTACATAATCTTATTAGTGCCTGCTTTTGTTTTAAATCTTTGTCTCTATGTATAGTTTGTAGATATATTTATACAAAATCAAACAACTGCCCCTTTAAGTATGGCAAACACTTTATCTATGTGCAAAAGAAATAAAGGTAGGCACTAGTCCAGGGGTGGGCAACCTGCGGCTCTCCAGCTGTTGCAGAACTACAAGTTCCATTATGCCTCTGCAAGTCATAGCTGTAACTGTCAGTTTTGCAATGTCTCATGGGACCTGTAGAGTCATGCTTTTAACTTCCGGTTTTTTCAATGCCTCATGGGAAATGTAACTCCACACCAGCTGGAGAGCCGCTGGTTGCCCACCCCTGCACTAGTCCTTTTAACAGATGCAAAATATTGGAAAAAAATACATAAACAGATGATGAGATATTACCCACTATTTAAGCAAATAAAAACAACTGAAACCAATATAAAGTCCAAAATGCATATAAAAGTCCCAATCACTGTGTTCTTGTAATATGCAAAAAAGACGACATATTCTTCTTGAAAACAAAGTGCTCTCACACTGCAGATAAACTCCTCACTCACCAGATCCCAACATCCAACAAAGCAGCCTTTAAGCGTTAGATGTTTAATCCAATGTGTGAGATAGCTGGAACCAATATGTTCATGGATGCCACTATCAACTCTCATGCATCAGGGACAAATCAACCAAAAATTAAAAGAGAGTACTCAGGGTAATATGCTTTATTAAATAAAAAGGTGTTAAAAAACAAACTGAATTCACTTACAAATAAGGGTGCCAAAGAAGGGTACCAACACAGACAGCTCACTTTGGGGGGAATTCTCCCTTGCACAGTCGCTCGTAACCACAGAGCCAGCGTGCGTTCCATGAAACTAGAAATAACGTAGCACATGGGACCGGACGTGATGTCAGCGCCTCAATGCATTCTACGCACTGCACATCCTCAGGGAGCTCACTGATTAATCTTTTAATGCTTACATGCTGCTTTGTTGGATGTTGGGATCTGGTGAGTGAGGAGTTTATCTGCACATGGTGGAGCACTTTGTTTTTACAATGATTTTGTCACCTTTTTGCATATTACAAGAACATGGTGATTGGAACTTTTACATGTATTTTGGGCTTTATATTGGTTTTAGTTGTTTTGATTTGCTTTATTTGTGGGTAATATCTCATCATCTGTTTATGTATTTTTTCAAATATTTTGCCTTCTGTTAAAGGGCTAGCACCTACTTTTGTTACTTTTGCACATATATATATATATATATATATATATATATATATATATATATATATATATTAATATGGAGGTCCCTAGGTACTATACAGAGAATCATTTGGAGGTTTCGACTATTTGGTATGTTGGTTTCCATTTCATTCTGGTCTGTAGACTCATTTAAAAGGGGAACTTCAGCCATGTTACCCACCCAACCCCCTTGCTGGACTACTGGAAACCTCTCCCATCTCCAACACAGAGAAGTTCTGTAGTTAGGAGCTACCACTTTATTGAAGTAATCCTTTAACAGAGTACTCTGACTACAACCAAATGCGCAAATATACATATTCCTGACCATGCAGAGATTGTGCACAAAAATATTGAAGTAAAATTGTTTGTACCTGTTGAGTTTTGTATAAATATGTAAATGTGTTCTTCTGGCAAAACTAACAATATACATACTTGTATATTTAGGTAGACATGTCTCATTGCATTCCCAAGGGAGTTCTTTCAATATACTTTGAAATATAGTTACATTTCTATTTAAAATTTAGCACCCCAGCATCCTACTGCTGATCATACAAGGATTGCATCACCTAGTGGCTGAAGGCTACAATCCCAACCCATTCATGATTGGTTGGGCGGAAGGGAATCTGGATTTTATATACACTGCTCAAAAAAAATTAGCGAACACTTTTTAATCAGAATACAGCATCAAGTCAATTAAACTCCTGGGATGTTGATCTGGTCAGTGAATTAGCAGTTAAGTTAATCAGTTTCGGCTGCTTCGGTGTTACAAAAATTAACAATAGGTGCACTAGATGGGCAACAATGAGACAACCCCCAAAACAGGAATGGTTTTACTTGTGGAGGCCACTACATTTTTTCCCTACTCATCTTTTATGACTGTTTTTCACTAGTTTTGCTTTTGGCTAGGGTCAGTGTCACTACTGGTTGCATGGGGTGATACCTGGACCCTACAGAGGTTGCACAGGCAGTCCAACTCCTCCAGGATTGCACATCAATATGTGCCATTGCCAGAAGGTTTGCTGTGTCTCCCAGCACAATCTCAAGAGCATGGAGGAGATTCCAAAAGACAGAATGTTACTCTAGGAGAGCTAGACAGGGCTGTAGGTCCTTAACCCATCAGCAGGACTGGTATCTGCTCCTTTGTGTAAGGAGGAACAGAATGAGCACTGTCAGAGCCCTACAAAATGATCTCCAGCAGGCAACTGGTGTGAATGTCTCTGACCAAACAATCAGAAACAGACTTCATGAGGGTGGCCTGAGGGCCAGACTTCTTTTAGTGGGCCCTGTGCTCACTGCCCAGCACCATAGAGCTTGATTGGCATTTGCCATTGAACACCAGAATTGGCAAGTCTGCCACTGCCACCCTGTGCTTTTCACAGATGAGAGCAGGTTCACCAGAGCACATGTGACAGATGTGAAAGGATCTGGAGTAGCCATGGAGAATCTTATGGTGCCCTGGTGGTGGGTCAGTGATGGTCTGGGGAGGCATATCCATGGAGGGACACACAGACCTCTACAGGCTAGACAATGGCACCCTGACTGCCATTAGGTATCAGGATGAAATCCTTGTACCCATTGTCAGACCCTACACTGGTGCAGTGGGTTCCAAGTTCCTCCTGGTGCATGACAATACCAGACCTCATGTGGCGAGAGTATGCAGGCAGTTCCTGGAGGATGAAGAAATTAATAACATTGAATGACCCCCACGCTCACCTGACCTAAATCCAACAGAACACCTCTGGGATATCATGTTTTGATCCATCCATCAGGTTGCACCTCAGACTGTCCATGAGCTCAGTGATGCCCTGGTCCAGATCTGAGAGGAAATACCCCAGGACATCATTCATCGTCTCATTAGGAGCATGCCCAGATGTTGCCAGGCATGCATACAAGCACATGGGGGCCATACAAACTACTGAGTACCACTTTGAGTTGCTACAATGCAATTTCAGGAGAATGGACTAGCCTACTGCATTATTTTTTCACTTTGATTTTCGGGATGTTTTTGAATTCAGTCCTCTGTAAGTTGATAATTTTCATTTCCATCAAATGATGGGGCATCCTTACATTCCTAACACATTACCTACTCCATGTCAGTATAGAGATCCAGCATGAGATTTTTCCCCATTGAGATCTGCTGTGTTTTCAAAGTGTTCCTTTAATTTTTTTGAGCGGTGTTTTGTATGGCTCAGACCGGCCAGTTCAGAGCAGGTAAAAAAAAATACTGGATTCTTTACTGGATTGATCTTAGTGCATCTCACTGACTGTAAAGCTGATCACACACAATACAATCTCCATTATATCTACCAGCAATTAGTGTGAGGTCTTTTAAATTTTACACCGTATCAGGGTATTGCATATCTTTTATACTGTATATTAGGAAGCTGCTGAAATTGCGAAACACAGCGTTTCTACTTAGGACTGACCGAATCCATATGCAATGCCATTAGTGCCACAAATAATCCAGTCGAAGTTCTGTCTGCAGATGGCATCGATGTCGACATGGTTTGTGCCGTGGAACAGCAGGCGCTCATCCACAGTGTTGGTCAAATTATTTTTTTTCATTTGATCTTTTTTGCCTGAAACACAAAAAAATGCAATAAATCATCTGAAATGAATAAAGTTTTGTTTTAAAAATTTTCACCTACAGCAGTTTTAGTCACTGTGCTGTTGATTTCTAAAAAAACTTATATTGAAAACAGTAAAAAGCAATGAAAATATTTATATAAACACATTATGGCATAACATTGATTGGACCTCTGGTGATATCATATCCTGGTCCTGGAAGTGTTACCAGAACTGCCTGATGCATAATAAGCTCCTGGCCAACTTTTCTGCCTCTCCATATCCAACTTGTTATGCAGGGTTTAGTGATGTATTTTCATAAAAGGCCGCCTCGGTTCAGCAATGAAATCATACAAATTATTCGCTTTTTTTGAACCTGGAACACAAGCAATTGAAATCATACATCCCATAGAAGTTTCATCTGCCCATCCACTTTCCTCCACAGGGGCCTGTCTTTTCACTAATTAAGTACCCACTGCCCGTCATAGTAATGATATCTTCACCTTGTTCGAGGGGGCACATGGTAAATTAACCAAACTAGAACTTAGCACTTGCGGAGGGCTTACAATCCGATGACATATTCGATAAGGGAATAAGTGGAAGGTTCATACACAAGAGGCATTTTGATTGCCCGATCATGCCACTTAGGCGTTTTATGTAATAGTGCCAGCTGTTTTACAGGAATTTAACCCTTTTCCGGCAAGTTTCTTGGCCAGTATACTTCCTTTTCAACACTAGACAATATTTTGATGTGTTCTTCCTTGCTTTGTCGTACTGTGACAATGTTTATGTGGCGCTGGCCTCAAATACTCCAACAACACTAACTCCCGTGCCAAATGCCTAAACTATCTAAGGGGCCCCTTCCATGTATCAGAGGTTCCCTTCTGACTTATTATTTCCAGATTTAGATATCACAATGGACCCCACCAAAGTAACAGGCCTCAATGGACCCAGCCTAAAGATATGAAAGCTGTCCAATATTTATTGGAACTTTGCTAACTTTTATATGAAGGTTCATTAAAAACTTCACTGTCATGGCACCTATTACCACTATAATCCAAAAAGGGAAATAACTAGAGATGAGCGATAAATCGAAGTAGGCGAAGTGGAAATTCGAGTCGAATATTGGAAAATTTTTAGCCGAATCCCGAAAAATAGCCTACTTCGTACGCGCGAATCGAAATTTTTCCTAAAATGGCGGCGGGTCATGTGGCGGCGACGGAGCGGGGTATGTACTGGGAAGGCACGCAGACAAGGCGCACGGCTGACCCAAATGCATTCCTTAAATGACATAGTGATCGCATTATAGCCCATCAGCTAGCCAGCCAGGCCAGCACTGTGTAATGGTCGAGCTACTAAATACGCGCGCCATATTTATTCAATTCTTCATTTGCCTCCAGTCATTCAAGAGTAGGCAGACCGCTCTGGTATTGGGACCAGAGTTAGGGCCACAGAAACGTTACTTGGGGACAGAGAAACGTTACTTAGGGACAGAGAAAAACATTACTCAGGGACACAGAATTGTTAAATGAGGTCCCACAGACCTCGTTACTTAGGGCCAAAGAAACGCTAGTTAGGGCCACAGAATTGTTACTCAGGGACAGACAGAATTGTTACTGAGTGCCAGAGAATTGTACTTAGGGCCACAGAAACATTAGTAAGGGGGCCCCAGAATTGTTACTCAGGACAGACACAGACTTGTTACTGAGGGCCACAGAACTGTTACTTAGGGCCACAGAAACGTTAATTAGGGCCACAGAAATTGTTACTCAGGGATAGACAGAATTGTTACTGAGTGCCAGAGAAAACCTGTTACTTAGGGCGCCACAGAAACGTTAATTAGGGCCACCAGAATTGTTACTCAGGGCACACAGACAGAATTGTTACTGAGTGCCAGAGAATAGTTACTAGGGCCACAGAAAACGTTAGTAGGGCCACAATAATTGTTACTACTCAGGGACAGACACAGAATTGTTACTCAGGGCCACAGAACTGTTACTTAGGGCCACAGAAACGTTATTAGGGCCACAGAAATTGTTACTCCTGGGACAGACACAGAATTGTTACTGAGTGCCAGACGAAATTTGTTACTTAGGGCCACAGAAACGTAGTTAGGGCAACAGAAACGTTAGTTTAGGGCCACAGAATTGTTACTCTGGAGTCAGACACAGAACTGTTACTTAGGGCCAATAAAACAGAACTGTTACTTAGGGCCAGACAACGTTACATAGATGGTCCACAGAATTGTTACTCAGGGACAGACACAGAATTGTTACTGAGGGCCACAGAACTGTTACTTAGGGCCTCAGAAACGTTAAGTTTAGGGCCACAGAATTTGTTACTCACCAGGGTCAGAAGACACAGAACTGTTACTTAGGTCCACAGAACTGTTACTTTAAGGGCCTACAGAAACGTTACATTAGGGCCAACAGAATTGTTACTCAGGGACAGACACAGAATTGTTACTGAGGGCCAAAGAACTGTTACTTAGGGCCACAGAAAACGTTATTAGGGCCAACAGAATTGTAACATCTGCTCAGGACAGACAGAATTGTTACTGAGTGCCAGAGAATTGTTTACTTAGGGCCCACAGAAACGTTAGTTAGGGCCACAGAATTGTTACTCAGGGGACAGACACAGAATCTGCTACTGAGTGGGCCACAGAACAGTTACCTTAGGGCCACAGAAACTTATTAGGGCCACATGAATTGTTACTCAGGGACAGACAGAATTGTTACTGAGTGCCAGAGAATTGTTACGCTAGGGCCACAGAAACGTTAGTTAGGGCCACAGAATTGTTACCTCAGGGACAGATACCACATAATTGTTACTGAGGGCCACAGAACTGTTTACTTTAGGGCCTCACAGAACGTTATTAGGGCCACAGAATTGTTATACTTCCCAGGGACAGACAGAATTGTTACTGAGTGCCACAAGAGAATTGTTACTTAGGGCTCAACAGAAACGTTATGTTTAGGGGCCACAGAATTGGTTACTCAGGGACAGACACAGAATAGTTACTGGAGGGCCACAGAACTGTTACTTAGGGCCACAGAAACGTTACTGTAGGGCCACAGAATTGTTACCTCAGGGACAGACACAGAATTGTTACCTGAGGGGCCACAGAATTGTTACTTTAGGGCCCTCAGAAAGAAACGTTACTCAGGGGACACAGAATTGTTACTGAGGGCCACAGAACTGTTACTTAGGGCCAACAGAAAACGTTAGTTAGGGCCACAGAATTGTTACTCAGGGACAGGCAGAATTGTTACTGAGTGCCAGAGAATTGTTACTTAGGGCCACAGAAACATTTGTTAGGCCACAGAATTGTTACTCAGGGACAGACACAGAATTTTTAACTGAGGGCCACAATAAAAACTGTGTACTTAGGGCCACAGAAACGTTATAGTTAGGGCCACAGAATTTGTTGACTCAGGGACAGACACAGAATTGTTACTGAGGGCCACAGAATTGTTACTTTGGGGCCACAGAAACGTTACTCGCAGGGACACAGATATTGTTACTGAGGGCCACAGAATCCGTTACTTAGTGGGCCACAGAATTGTTACTCAGGGGACATGATACACAGAAAATGTTACTCAGGGACACAAGAATTGTTACTGAGGGCCACAGAACCGTTACTTAGGGCCACAGAAACGTTACTCAGGGACACAGAATTGTTACTGAGGGCCACAGAACCGTTACTTAGGGCCACAGAATTGTTACGTGTAATCAAGGGACAGACACAGAATTGTTACTCAGGGACAGAGAATTGTTACTGAGAGGGCCACAGAACCGTTTACTTTAGGGCCACAGAGAAACGTACTCAGGGACACAGAATTGTTTACTGAGGGCCCACATAACCGTTACTTAGGGCCACATAATTGTTACTACCAGGGGACAGACACAGAATTGTTACTCTGAGGGACACAGAATTGTTTACTGAGGGCCACAACCTGTTTTCTTAGGGCCACAGAATTGTTACTCATGGACACAGAATTGTTATCTGAGGGCCACAGAACCGTTACTTTTAGGGCCACAGAATTGTTACTACTCAGGGACACAGACTTGTTACTGAGGGCCACAGAACTGTTAATTGGACAGACACAGAATTGTTACTGAGGGAACACCAGAATTGTTACTGAGGGCCACAGAACCGTTATCTTAGCGGCCACAGAATTGTTACTCTGATGGACACAGAATTGTTACTGAGGGCCACAGAACCCCGTTTACTTAGGGCCCCAGAAACAGAATTGTTACTCACGTGACAGACATCATGAATTGTTGCTGAGGGACACAGAACTTTATACTGACGCGGCCACAGATGTTCCGTAACTTAGGGCCACGAAAATTCGTTAATCAGGGGACACAGAATTGTTACTGAGGGCCACAGAAACCGTTACTTTGGGCCACTAATACGTGTAATCAAGTGACAAGACACAGAATTGTTAACTGAGGGACACATGAATTGTTACTGGAGGGCCTTCACAGAACCGTTACTTAGGGCCACATAAAACGTTAATCAGGGGACACACAGCAGATTGTTACTGAGGGCCACAGAACCGTTACTTAGGGCCAGACATGAATTGTTACTCCACAGGACAGACACAGAAGATGTTTCACTGAGGGACACAGAATTTTTACTGAGGGCCACATGAACCGTTACTTAGGGCCACAGAACGATAATCAGGGATCACAGTAAATTGTTACTGAGGGCACAGGAACCGTTACGTAGGGCCACGTAATCGTTTACTCTGGGACAGACACAGAATTGTTACTCTAGGTGACACAGAATTTGTTACTGAGGTGGGCCACAGAACCGTTACTTAGGGCCCACATAAAACGTTAATCCAGGGGACACAGAATTGTTACTGAGGGAACCACAGAATTGTCAGTTACTTAGGGCCACAGAATTGTGACTCTGGGTCAGACACCAGCAATTGTTTACTCTGGGAGTCACCAGAATTGTTACTCAGGGACACAGGAATCGTTCGAATAATAAGTATGTTCAGACAA